AATGACATGCCCTCTCTACATCAATATTACGCTCAAACCCGAAATGGACGCATCGCAATATACTACAAAATCCTCCACGCCCTCTAGCAGGCTAGAATCGACGCATCGTATAATCTCCGCCTCAAAGTCTCAAACGTTGCCTACTGCTCAGGCCCCCAGCGAAATACAACGGCTTTCTTCGTCAGATAGATCGAGGGCACGACTATCTTGGAGAAATCCTGAATGAACCTCCGGTAATAGCCTGCCAATCCTAGGAAACTCTGAATCTCAGATGGAGACTTCAGAACCTCCCATCTAATCATGGCCTCCACCTTGGTCGGGTCAACCAAAATCCCGTTCTCGTTGACAAGGTGCCCAAGAAACTGCACCTCGCGTAACCAGAACTCGCACTTGGAGAACTTGGCATACAAGCTCTCCCTCCACAGGGTATCCAACACCTCCTGCAAGTGCTCCTCATGCTGCTCATAAGGTCCATGAACGGGACAGGAGCATTGGTGAGCTAGAAGGGTATCACCACGAACTTGTAGTGGCCATAGCGAGTTCAGAACGCAGTCATCTATACATCCTCATCTCTGACCCTCATCTGATGGTATCGTGAACATAAATCTATCTTGGAGAACCAAGATGGCCCCTGAAGCTGGTCGAAGAGATTTTCAATCCTCGGGAGTGGGTAACGGTTCTTCACCGTTACCTTGTTCAGCTCCTGGTAATCTATACACATCCGATGCGACCCATCCTTCTTCTTCACAAACAGAATCGGGGCTCCCCAGGGTGAACTGCTTGGTCTAATGAATCCCTTGACTAACAGCTCCTTCATCTGTGTAGAAAACTCCTTCATCTTAGGAGGAGCTAACTGATATGGTGCTTTGGCTATCGGAGTCGCACCAGGGACCAAGTCGATCCTGAACTCTACTTGTCTCTCCGGAGGTATCCCAGGTAGATCCGCTGGGAATACATCTTAATACTCTCGCACCACTGGCACATCACTCACAATCGCCTTACCCGCCTCCCGGGTATCCATAACATAGGTGACATACCCTACGCAACCCTGCTGTAGGTAGCACCTAGCCCTAGCTGTTGAGCAAATAGCTAGTCCTCAATATTGTCCCTCGCCCTGAATCACCAGCTCTCCCCCACTTGGGGTCCTAACCCATACCAACTGTTGCGCACAGTCGATCACGGACCAATTGGGGATCAAACAGTCCATCCCTATGATAACCTTGTTCCCACGCAACGGAATGGGAAACAAGTCCACCAGGTAGCGCTCCCCATACAACCTCAGAACACGATCTCTAAAAACCTCTGATGCTCGAACTGATCGGTCGTCAGCAATCTCAACCTCTAGAGGGAAATCCAACATGCCCGAAGACTCAGAGAACCTCTTGCTAAGGGAAAGAAAGACAAATGATTGGGTAGCCCCCGAGTCCAACAACACCTGCACTGGAATGTCGTTCACATGGAACGATCCTAAACCACACATGAAACATTTACATAAATATCATAAACAACATATAATAAGAGCTAGGGAGAAGAAAACATACATGTCACCACATCGGGTGGGGCGCGTGCCTCTTCGGTCGTCAACTGGAAGGCCCAACTCCACACCACTCGAGCCCCTATCTCTCCCTGCCGACCATCAGTGATCCGCAGGGTCACCGGAGTTGGCATTGTTGCTGCTGTCAATCTTGGGCAGTTGGCCTTTTTATGGCCCTTCTGATTGCAATGAAAGCAAATCAGGTTTGATGTCTGGAAGGTGAGGGCATGGGAGGTACAATCCTTGCCAAAGTGTCCGGGCTTTCCGCACTTGTATCATCCCAATGATCCCAACCTATAGACCCCCTCGTGGGTCTTGCCGCACTTCCTGCAGCGACCCTGGTCCTGCTGGCCCTTCGGCCTAGTGTCGGATCCCTTGGGCTTCTTCCTCGAAGCCCCAGTGGTATTCCCATCTCCTACCTTTCTCTTCCTACGTTGCTCTATATCAATCTCCCTCTCCATCATCCTCGCGATCATATCATCCAAGATTGGACATGCCGAGTAGCTGACATGTTTCTGGATGTCATCCCTCAACATGTAATGATAGCGGGTCTTCCGCGTCTCCTCATCTCCTGCATATCGCGACACCAATAAGGCCCTCTACCGGAACATGGCAGTAATCTCCACCACCGTCTCTATCGTCTGCCTCATATATCAAGAAACTCATTGGCCAGCTGCTGAACCTCCACAGCTGGTGCAAACTCAGCCCTGAACCGGGCCACAAAATCTGACTAAGTCATAGCCTCAACAGATGAGGCTCCCAAGGAACCACCAACCGACTCCCACCAATCTCTGGCTCTGTCCCTCAAAAACCCTGCAACATAACGAACCATCGACCCCTCTGGGTAGAAGCTAGTCAGCTGCGCAGATTCCATGTCTGTGATCCACTTCCTGGCAGCAGTGGGTCCTTCACCTCATGGAAGTCTGGTGCACCATAACCCCTGAAGTCTTTGAAGGACAGTGTGTGCAATCCTGACTGGATGGATGTCATGTCACTCCTAAACGCCCTGAGGCGATCCTCCATCAGTTCCATAATCCCTTCCTTGATCGAACCGAAAATCACCGGGGTCGACTCAAGGATACTTCTAGTGATATCAGAAGTAATGAACTCGCGTAGTCCCTCATCGACTGGCTCGACACATGATCCCGAACCTAATCCCGCACCAGATCCTGATCCTGATCCTCCTTCTCTATGACACGTAATCATCACCATTCTGAAACAAAACACATAATCATCAGGGTCATACATAACCTCGAGAGATCTTACCCACTGTACAAGTTTCCTGGTTTTATCTCGGCCCTCCTTGAATCGAGTACAAATCCTCTGGTTTCAGTATTACGGGCCCATACTACCGTCCACATCTATCTGTACTTTCCTCAAGGATTCCTTTGACTTCACCAAGTCTCTGCTACTACTATTGCACTCTTTGCTAATCTCATCCTAGGCTCTCCCTAGGGTAATTTTCCAACCCACTCTCTGACATCGGTTGTGTAGGAAGTTCTTACCACATTTATCTAACTAACTTGCGAATACCATTACATATAGGGATGAGCAAAAGGACCGAACCGGCCCGAACCGGCCCGAACCGGGAACCGG